CCTGGCCTGATGGTGGTGTGACCACAGTAGGGACTGTACCTTTCTTGTCTCTGCACACCCTGAAGCACCTGTTCAGCCTCTTATCTGATGCTCCATATATTGGTGAGGAGTGTGTGTGGGGTGAATGATCCAGCCTGAGGCAGGCCACTGCAAGGCTTCCCCTCTGCTGGGCCCCTCTTCCTGGGCCCTGTAATAGACTCTCACCCCTAAGGCGGTAAGTCCCTGGCTCTAGAATGTTCTGATCATCCCGGTTTGGTCAGACACAGATGTTCTGGCTCACCCACCCATTGGCCTGCTGCCCCAGGGATCAGGACCATGGAGTCCAACTGAGGGAGCCAGAGATAAGACCCAATGCATGAGGGCCAGCGAGAGGCAGTCTTGGTGAGCCCAGGGGCCTCGGGCAGCAGCAGGTTGGCATCTGGGGCTGGAGGCAGTGGGGGCAGAGAGAAGGGGGAAGCCAGGAGACAGGAGGGCCCAGGAGGAAAAGCTGCTAAAAATGAAAAACACGTCACTCGTGGTGAAAGCGAAATCAAGCTCCCTTCCCGTGTTGAAGAATCAAAAAGCATAAGAACGAAGAGGGGGCACAGAGGGGACCTCCCAGACGGACTGGATGAGTGGCTTTTACAGTTGTTTTAGCTGTGAAGCCCTCAGCTTCAAAGCTAGCCCTACTCCAAGCATAAACAAACAGAAAAGAGCAGAACAGAGCTGCTCTTTCTTGCGGGGGCGGGGAAAATCTGCAGAGCCAGATTCTAGCCATTTGGTCTGACCTTCCCTGTTAGGGATTGAACTGTGTCCCCCAAAAATATGTGTCCGAAATCCTAACTCCTCTATAAGTGCTCAGCTACTAACCAAAAGTTTCAGGGCTCAAATCCACCAGCCACTCTGGAGGACCAAGATGAAGCAGCCTGCTTCTGTAAAGATTTGTTGTTGTTGTTGTTGTTGTTAAGTGCCGTTGAGTCGTTTCCGACTCATAGCGACCCCATGCACAGCAGAACTAAACACTGCCCTATCCCGCACCAGCCCCACAATCCCTGCTATACTTGAGCCCATAATCGCAGCCACCGTATCAATCCATCTCGTTGAAGGCCTCCCCCTCTTTCGTCGACCCTCCACCCTACCAAGCATGACATCCTTCTCCAGGGAATGGTCCCTTCTTACAACATGACCAAAATAGGTGAGACGAAGTCTGGCCATTCTTGCTTCCAAGGAGCATTCTGGCTGACTATTGTAGTCAATATCACGAGGCTCCCTTGTTACCCTCCCGAGAGGGACCAGGTCTCCAGGAGCAAGGTAAGCACGGGCGTAGCACAGAGTAGCAGGCCGGAAGAGCAGGAGAAAGGGGTAAAACCCAGTCACTAGTGCTCAGATGGCTCTCTTGTTACCCTCCCGAGAGGGACCGGGTCTCCAGGAGCAAGGTAAGCACGGGCGTAGCACAGAGTAGCAGGCCGGAAGAGCAGGAGAAAGGGGTAAAACCCAGTCACTAGTGCTCAGATGGCTCTCTTGTTACCCTCCCGAGAGGGACCGGGTCTCCAGGAGCAAGGTAAGCACGGGCGTAGCACAAAGTAGCAGGCCGGAAGAGCAGGAGAAAGGGGTAAAACCCAGGGAGCCAAAGAGAAGAGCAATCAGCCGAAGGGATTAGGTGAGGAGGGGAAACTCAGGGACGCCCAAAGAAGCAGGCCAGAAGAGCAGGAGAAAGGGGATTAAAAGACAGGAAGCCAGACAGAGGAACAGTCAGCCACAGGGACCCAGGTGGGGGGGATAAGAGAGGTCTCCAACAGCAGGACAAACTTGTCTGTCGGTTTGTCCTACTGTGGTGACATGTAGACGTGAGTTTTGAGGCTGAGCCTCTGGTGTTTAAAACCCAGCGAGATGCACCTGGTGCATAGGAAACAGCCCAGTTTATAGACTGAGACAGACTAGGAAGAAGGAAGAGGCCATCCACTTCTGAAAGAATTGGCCAGGGAAAACCTTATGAATAGCAAAGAAACACTGTAAAGATTTACAGCCTTGGAAACCCTGTGGAGCAGTTCGACTCTGTCCTACAAGGTGGCTATGAGTTGCTGTGAATCGTATCAAAACCAACAGGTTACACCTGTGGTTATAATCCCATTTGGGAATGGGTTTTGTTAACAAGACAGGATTAGTGTAATGTAAATTGCTCTCTTTTGAGATATAAAAGCAATTTAAGCAAGCAGAGATGGGGGGAGACAGATGCAAGGCTACCTGAACATCACCAAGGAACCAAGGAACAAGGACCCTCCCACAGAGCTGGCAGAGGGTAACAGCCTTCTCCCAGAGCCGGTGCCCTCGGTTCGGGCTTACCAGTCTTCTGAACTGTGAGAAAGTCAGTCTCTGTTTGTTAAAGCTACCCTCTTGTGGTATTCCTGTTACAGCAGCACTAGATGGCTCAGACACTCCCCAGAGGGGCAGGAAGGCCCCACTGGCCAGGAGGAAGGCTACCCCCCAATAACATGCAGGGTCGTGTGATACCTGAAACCAGCTTGCCATGCAGGCCTCTGTCCCTGGACCCCAGGGACAGATGTTCTGCCAGGCCCTTGCCCCCTCAGGTGGGGGTCCCTGGGAACTCCTCCCACTGCACTCCTGCCTGAGGCTCCGTTCACGTGTTTGAGCATGCCCAGGCCTGCCGCATTGTCCTGGGTGGCAGGGCCATGCCCACCACCTCCTGGAAGCGCCCAGCTGCCACACAGCATCTCAGCTTTGCCATGTCCCAAATGGATTCAACACCTAGCCCCACAGCTCTGCCCCCTGCAATGACCCCTGACTCCTCTCCCCTCCTGAATCTCTCTGCTCTACTCCTTTCGCCATCCTCCCACCCCAGCATCACCATCCTGGGCATCACATCATCTTCCACCCAGACTACCATAACCACCACTGAAGTGGGGCCTCAGCCTCAAGTCTTGGCCCTCCACTCAGCAGTCAGTTTTCTGACTCCTTCAGTGCCTCAAGGTGCCCATCTGTAAAATGAATAGCCCATGGCCTGTGTCAAGGATACTTATGAAGATGATTTGAAAGCTGCAAATGCTACACAACTGGGAAGACATATTTTTAGAACAAGCAATGAGGGGCAGTACCCTGAGATTTTGCCGACCGAACCTGGTCAAAGTCCAGGTCTAAATATGAAGTAGGACGTTCATGAGTTGAATCTGGATGTTTACTGAGAAGGAAACATGAAATGAGAGTGTTGTCATCTTTCAAATGGCCCTCTTAGGAGCAGCTCATGTTCCCTTTGCTTTCCTGGGAAAGGACTTTGGAATCAGCAGGAGCTCCTACTTGGTGGGCCTGTTACGTGCCAGCCAGTGCTAAGTGCTCTACCTCTGTTAGCTCATCCACCCTTTGTAGCTCTGAGGAGACAAGTATTACCCCCATTGTATTGATGGGAAACTTGCGGCTCAGAGAACAGAGATCCCTTCCCAAGTCATACCTGTAATAAGCGGTGGAGTCCAGCTTGACTAACCCTAGAGCCTTGAGAAGTGCCTCCTGGGTAACCTCCATTCTTCTAAGGTGACTCTGACTTTCAGAAATGGTCAGTTTTGTGAACCCAAATCTAAGGAGCAGGGGTACAGTCCCTCTAGCTATTAACCACCCATTGTCATCAAGTCAATTCTGACTTATAGAGACCCCCATTGAGTTTCCAAGGCTGTAAATCTTTACAGAAGTAGATTGCCTCAACTTCCTCTCACAAAGCAGATAATGGGTTTGAACCATCTGGTTAGCAGCCAATTGCTTAACCACTGTGCCAGTGGGCTCCTAGTCCAATGTTAGAGGATTAAAACTCAAAGACCAAACCCATTTCCATGGAATTGATTCTGACATAGAGCAATCCCATGTTGTTGTTACGTGCTGTCGAGTCAGAGCCGACTCATAGCGACCCCTCCTTGGGTTTCCGAGGTGGTATCACTATGGAAGTAGATTGCCCCATCTTCATTCCAAGGAGTAGTGTGGGTTTGAACCACCAGCCTTCTGATTAACAGTCAAGTGCCTTGGCATTAACTGCCTCGTGGGGTTTCCCAGGCTGCAAATCTTCATGGAAGCAAACTGCCTCATCTTTCTCTCATGGAATGGCTGCTGGGTTTGAAGTGCCAACCTTTTGGTTAGCAGCTAAGCACTTTAACCACTATGCCATCCAACCCACTGCCATCAAGTCGTATCCAACTCATAGCAACCCTTCCTCGGGTTTCCGAGGCAGTATCACTATGGAAAGTAGATTGCCCCATCTTCCTTCCGAGGAGTGGCTGGTGGGTTTGAACCTCCAGCCTTCTAGTTAGCAGTCAAATGCCTTAGGCACTATGCTACCAGAGCTCCTATGCCTATGCCATCAGGGCTCCTTAATACCAAAAACCACACCCACCGCCATCAAGTTGATTCTGACTCGTAGCAACCTCCATTGGGTTCCCAAGGCTGTAAATCTTTATTGAAGTAGATTGCTTCACTTCCTCTTGTGAAGCAGCTAGTGGATTTGAACCACTGACCTTCTGGTTAGCAGCCAAATGTCTTACCCCAGATATTAACAGTTGAGTTTAAAATAAAATGCGGTTATAGTTCCACAGATTTTGATGGTGTGGCTCATGAACAACCCTGGAAAGAGGAGGCCTAGCCCTGGGCATGGGGGAGCTAGCTTCTAAAGTAGAGGAATTGTTTTTCAAAGGATGAATGACATTTTATAAACTACAAAGAGCCTGAGTCAAGGGAGGTCTATTGTTATATCTTGTATCGCTGGGTCTCTGGAGCCTTTGAAAGATGAGCAAGGAGGGACTGGAGGTGAGACCAGAAGGAGAAATTGACTAGCAGGTGAGGTGGTCAGTGATGAAGCCCATGGCCTTTCCTGAGCTGTGTCAGGGACAAGGTGTGGAATATCTCAGGGGCACCTTGTACTTAAAGGCAGGGCATGAAGGAGATGGCCTCTGGATGGCCCCTGGCCAACAGGAAGCTGTTGGAGAGTTCTCTTTGTGGGAGAGGCCAGGGATAACCCCCTACTTTACCTGGCTTCCAGAACTTCTTGGCTGTCATCCAGTCCTTCCCACTCTCCTCGGAGACTGCCTTGTCCTCTGAGTCCTCCTGGTCCGTGGGCTCGCCCACCCACTGCAGGCCGTAGTCATTGAGGAACCGCTGGGAGAAGGAAGGAGGAGACGCCAGGGCACTGTTAGCTGGAAGCACCTGGGTTTCCCACAGCCCAGGTATAAACAGGCTCGAGTGGGAAGGGCTCACAGCTCCAGCTCAGGCTTGAGAGTTTGCTTCTATAGCCTTATGTGAGGTTGGAGCTTTAGAAACCAGCTCTGCATGGAGCGGGAGAGAGGAGAGACCTAGGCAGAACTTCCAGCAGGACCAGAGGAAGTGTGCCTGGGATCTTTCCCTGTGTCTGGTGTCCCTCCGGCGTGGTTCTTGCCTCACCCCTCCTCACACTCCAGGCCCTCCCAGGACATGTCCTCCCTCCTCTGTGATTCCCAACCCCAGGCTGGAATGCCACCAACCTGGCAATCAGCGCTGGATTATGATGCTCCTTTTCCCCACCCATCTCACCCATCAGACTCAAAGATGGAGCTCAAGTCTGATTAACGCGCATTTCCCCAGCTCCTGGCACAGACCTGGGCATCAGTCAATGCTGTGTGAATGATGAGTGTGTGAGTGGTGGCCAGGGTAACCACATCACAGGGAGAAGTCCTGTTCAGGGGAAGGGAATATGGCCTTTACCACTTCAGTAAACATGTATGCCCAGCACTGTGCTAGGTAGGAGGCATGATGCAATGATGCTAGGAGGCCTAGCCCTGGGCATGGGGGAGCTAGCTTCTAAAGTAGAGGAATTGTTTTTCAAAGGATGGATGACATTTTATAAACTACAAAGAGCCTGAGTCAAGGGAGGTCTATTGTTACATCTTGTATCGCTGGGTCTCTGGAGCTCTCTTGTGGAGTTCACGGTATGGCAGGGAAGAGAGAGGAGGCACTAAGAAAGTGTATGACTGAGAACTGCTGTGGTCAGAGGCCAGGGAGGGTCCCCTGAGGAAATGCCCCCTATGTGAGACTGAAGAGGAGTGAAAACCAGCCAGGAAAAGGTGAGAAAGAACATTTCAGGTAGAGGGAACAGCATGGGCCAGGGTCTTGAGATGGGGAAGAGGCCCATGTGATCAAAGAACCAGAGGAAAGGCCCCATGGCTGGAGGGGAGTGTGAAGGGGAGAGTGGTTCAAGAAGAGACTGAAGCAGTAGGCAGGAGCAAGCCCACATGGTAGCCTCTGGCATTAGCCCAAGAGCAATGGGGAGCCAGGAGGTCTACTGTGCAGGAGAGTGGCAGTTCAGGCTCCAAAAGGTGGGTCTTCCCTGGCACAGGCCATCTCCCTCACTCTTTAAACTCTAAGTCAGTCTTTCAACTCTGGGTTAAACACAGCCCAGTGCCCCTGGTTGGGATGGAGGGGCTCAGGGATGGTACTGGTTCCGACCCAGGACCTAAGGGGCAAACACTGAGAGCCGGGGACTAAGGTCCTGCCTCTCTCACCTCCATCTCGCAGACCTGTCGTCGTAGCTGCGCACACATCGTCTCCAGCTCCTCCTGCCGCTGCAGGGCCACCTCACCTTCAGCGAAAGATGGGGACAGGGTTCAGCTGCCCCAGCTCGGAGACTGCCATGCCACCTCTGGAGAAACTACCCTCTAAGAACACTAAGACCTCCCCAAACTGCCTCTGGGTCCCCGTCTCTCTGAGGGGACACTGACAGGCTCTCAGGAGGCCGTCACCATGCAGCCCAGGATGGAGGTTCCTGAGGGTGCAGCTGAGTCTCCTCTACTTTAGATGGTACACTTGAGCTCTTTGCCCTCGGGGGTTCTGTCCCACATAGCAGGGTGCCAAGCAACTCAAGCACTCTCCTGGTGTCCCTGCCCCTCTGGGCTCAGCTGTCCAGACCCCACCACAGGAGTCAGCTTGATGCTCTTGGTGCCTGATGCCCAGAAGTCCTTGCCCAAGCACTCAGGAGCTGCCAGCCTAGGGAAGGGCCTGACCCAGGGGGCCAGTTAGCCCAACAGAGGTCAGGCCATGTCCACTGAGGGGGCCTCTTACATTGGTTTTGCTGAAGGTTCTGCACCAAGTCCTCCAGGTCCAGTATCTTCTTATCCTGTAGCAGCAAGACACAGAGTGAGCATGAGACCTGGTGACTCTCAGAGCTCAAGGGAGTAGGGAAAGGGTGATCCCAGACCTTCCAGAGGGGAAGACCCACAATGTTTGCCTATGTGGAGATGCTGGGGAGCTTAAAGCCCCTTCTCTCCCCAACACTTTGGCATAGTCATTGCTCCTGTGCCTCAGATAAACCTGGTGAATCCCAGAGAAGTGTGGGGAGGGTGTGAAGCACACCCCTGGTATGCCAACCAGTGGCTAGTGGTACAGCACTCAGCAGCCCATTGCTGTCACCCAGTCCAAGGTCCCCCAGGCCCTCATCAGTTGTGGAGAAGGTCCCTAGTCTCTCTGCTCAGGATCACTGGGCCCTCGATCAGTCCCAGGCCCAGAGCTGGCCTTCTACTAGGTAGTTCAGTGGAGGAGGAGGTTCCAGAACTCACAGGCTCTGGCCTCATCACTAGCCTCTATGCACCCCCCATCCTGGGACCCTCCGCCTCTCAGACTGGACCCTGGCCTTTTCCACCTAGTATCCCACCTTGGACAGCATCTCAACAGACTGGGCCTTCACCTGCTCCTCCAGCTCCTGCAACTTCCTTGCCATGGAGGACATTGTGTCTGAGTCATGGAATACAGTACCTGCCAACCAGACAAGTGACTTTGGAGCTCAGGCCGAGAGCTGCTGAGGGTCATGAGTGGGGTAGGGGAGGAATCCATGGGAGTAGAAATAAAAATAGTGGTAGAAAACAGTTATGCAACAGTCAAGAACTGTTCTAAACCCTTTATATACATATTAATGTATGTAATCGTTACAATAGGCCTTTGAGGTAAGTGAACTGTTATAGGAAACTCAGGTACAGAGATTAAGGAATTTGTCCAAGGTCACACAGCTAGTAAGTGGTATATTGTATGAGTTGCATCACCCTAAAGTATTCTTGTCAGAGAATACTTCCATCCAATCAAGTCTCTAAATCTAACCTCAGTTTGTGGGGGACAGAGGAACACATTAAACGACACTGCAGGCAAATAATCAAATTCACAGTGTGGGACATTCTGCAAGACAACTGGCCTGGACCCTTCAAAAAACTCAGTGTCATTGTTTGGAGGTAGGGAGACTGTTCTAAATGAAGAGAGACCACAAAGATAAAACAATTAAACACAGTGCATGACACTCAACTGTATCCGAGATTGGAGGAAAAGATATTTTTAAGAGACATTTTGTCCCCTATGCATGAGGACATAGCTCAGGGGGCAGGAGTGCATGGAGGGAAGGACACAGGAAAGAGGTAACTATGGAGAGGAGGTGGGGGGAACTGTTGCATTGTGGTAAATTGTAGTCAATGTCATGAGACAAAGTGTATGTGAATTGCTGTATGGAAAGTAAATTTGCTCTGTAAACTTTCACCCAAATCACAATAAAAAGAAAAAAAGGAGAGACATTTTGAATGGACACAAAAGCACAAATACTGTATGATCACATTTATATGAAATACCTAGAATAAACAAATGCATAGAGATGAAAGTGTATGTAGTGCTGGGCTGGGGTAGAAGGGGACAAGAGCCATTGCTGAAGGGTACTGAGTTCGGGCCTCGGGGTGGTGCCAAACTTTTGGAAGTATAATAGTGGTGATGGTAGCACAGCATGATGAATGTAACTAATGTCACTGACTTCTACACTTAAAAATGGCTTAAATGAATTAGTCAATGTCATGAGACAAAGTATATGTGAGCTGCTGTATGGAAAGTGAATTTGCTCTGTAAATTTTCACCCAAATTATAATAAAAATAAAAAAAAAACAGAAGTAGAAAGTAGACATATACATATGTAGTATATGCAGTTTTATAATAAAAAAAGTTTCTCAATTAAAAAAATGGCTTAAATGGAAAAAAAAAAGAGAGAGATTTTGGGACATTGGGGAAATTTTAACGTAGGACATTAAAAAAAAATCTAATGCACTACCATCAAGTCAAATCTGACTCACAGCAAACCCTCCTTGGGTTTCCAAGGCAGTATCTCTACAGAAGTAGATTGCCCAGTCTTCCTTCTGAGGAGTGGCTGGTGGGTTTGAACTGCCAGCCTTCTGATTAGCAGTCAAATGCCTTAGGCACTACACCACCAGAGCTTCCCAGGACATTAGATAATATTATGAATTATTCATGTTCGTAGGTGTAATAACAGTATGGTGGTTAGATATTTCCTATTCTTAGGATATGCACATATCTAGAGGTGAAATACCATGATATTTGCAATTTATTTCCAAATGGCTCATTGAAAATATACATTAACATTCATTTCTATGTATGTAAGGAGAGGGAGAGAGAAAGTAAATGTGGCAAATGTTATCAAGTGCTGACTCTAGATGGAGGCCATATGGGTGTTATGATACTATTAACTTTTTTGTATGCTGGGAATTTTGCTAAATAAATTGTTTATGAAAAGAAAACGAGAGAGGCACAGGAAGAAAGGCTGGATGCTGCCCCTTCTATGAGTGAAGCAAGAACTGTGGCCATCACCGTGCCAACAGGAGGGGCTGACGTGCCAAAGCTATCTCAGGGGAAACGGAGAAAAACCCTGAACTATCTTTCTTTCTTTTTTACATAATTAATCATTTATTTTGTTGTTGTTGTTGAGAATATACACAGCAAAAAATATACCAGTTCAAGTTTCTACATGTACAATTCAGTGACATTGATTCCATTCTTCAAGTGCAACCACTCTCAACCTGCTTTTCTGAGTTGTTCTTTCCTCATTAACATCAACTCCCTGCCCCCCAAGGTTCCTATCCAATCCTCTGAGTTGCTGTTTGATCCCATATCATAGAACTTAAAAGAGCACAAGGGGCAAGGCAGACATTCTTTACTAGTTGAGCTAAACGGTTGTTTGCTTTTAAGGTGACTTCAGGGGATATTTCTGGTTTAAGGTTTAAAGATTATCTCAGGGCAGTAGTTTTGGGGGTTCATCCACACTCCATGATTCCAGAAAGTCTAGATTCTATGAGAATTTGAAATTCTGTTCTGCATTTTCTCCCTTTTGATCAGGATTATACTATGGAATCTTTGATCAAAATGTTCAATAATGGGAGCTGGACACCAACCAGTGAGAACCCTTACCTTCTGATGATGTCTTTGAGCTGCTGAATTAACACTCTGGAGGTGCCTCCTTAAGACTTCTTGGTACGTGGGATAATAAATCTTCCTTAATGCCCATGTCAGTTGAGTGAGGGTTTTCTCTGACTTGTAGTCAAAAGCTTCCTGACTGGACATCTAGGTCAACTGGCAAAACATACTCCACAAAGACAATGTTCTACATCCTACTTTGATGAGAACTGACTGAAGTCTTAAAAATTTGTAAGTGGCCATCTAACTATTAGTCTCTCCCCATCTGGAGCAAAGAAGAGTAAAGAAAATCAAAGACTCAAGGAAGTAATTAGTCCAAAGGATTAATGGAGCATGTGAGTTTCAACCTCCACTACCCTGAGACCAGAAGAACTAGATGGTGCCCATCTACTACTACTGACCACTCTGATCAAGATCACAATTGAAGTTCATGGGTGGAGTGGGAGAAAAACGAACAAATACACAATCATGGGGGGAAAAAAAGACCAGATTTACTGGTCTGATAGAGACTGGTGGAACCCCTAAGACTGTGGCCCTTAGACACCCTTTGAACCTGGAACTGAACCCACTCCTGTAGATCACTTTTCAGTCAAACAACAGACAAGCCTGTAAAATGAAAAAAAATAACACCCATGAGGAATGTACTCCTCGGAAAAATCAACTATATGAGATCAAAAGGGCAGCATTTCCCTAGTAACAAAACTCAGAAGGCAGGAAGGGACAGGAAAGAAGGATGACCAGAAATGAGGAATCAAGAAAAGAAATGGCAAGAGTCTGTTTCATACAGAGGATTGCAACTAATGTCACAAAACAGAATGTGTGCAAATAGTCGAAGGAAAACTAACTTGCTCTTAAACTTCTACCCAAAGTACAATGAAAAAAAAAAAAAAAGGCAGCTTTCTGATGGCTGTAGACAGAGATATACACATTTGGGGTACTTAGAGCATGAACACGCTAACTGAAGCACAGAGTGTCGACAGAAGAGAGAATCCAGGCAGAACCACCACACTGGAAAGTTGGGGGTTGGGGTGGGGAGAAGGAGCTAGAAAAGAAGGCTAAGAAAAAAGAGCCTGGGAGGAAGGAGAACAGCTGAGAGAGTGGCATCACGGCAGCCCAGGGACGCGGGTGTTCTGAGAAGGAGGCACAGTGAGTGCAGCTGAGCAGAAAAGGGAGAGGACAGACAGTCCTCAGCAGGAGAGGTCACTCAGAGGTAAGGAAAGACATCACTGTGTAGGAGGAAGTGAATGAGGGAGAAGTGGAGAGAGGATGTAGATAGCTCTTCGAAGGGGAAGAGCTGGTTGTTGTGGTATTACTGAAAAGGTCGCTAGCTGGGGTGTAGGAGATTCTGGCCTTGTGTTTAAACGGCTGTGGGACCTTAGGCCAGGCTCTTCCTGTCTCTGGGCAATTCTCCCACCTATGAAATGGAGGGAGTGTTTGCTTGAGGACTATTACTGACCTGTAGGCGGCCACCGCTCTGAGCACAGGGCCCTCTGCTGAGCAGCAGCTCATTTCTGCTGAGCTAGGTGTTCCCACACCCACTTCACAGAGGAGGAAACGGAGGCAGAGACCCAAGATCTCACAGCTGGCAGAAAATTTTACCCTCATCCCCCCAGCTCAAGACTCCCAGATCAGCCTCTGATCCTGCCCAGCACTCTGCCCAGCTCATCCTGGCCTGCCCACGTCTCCCCTTCTTCCCAGCCTGCCACCTCCTCTGGAGGCCAGCTGATCAGCCCTATTCCACTTCAGGCACCTCCATGATCTCAGTGCCACTACAGTCCACTGCGGATGGTGTGAGCGACATTAGGTGGGTGCTCCAGGGGATTGTGGGCCTTGCCCAGAGCTGTTTGGAAGCAGGAAACAGAAGGCAAGAGGCTGAGCCTCACCTCAGGCCCTTCTTCCCTCTGTGACCCTGAATCCTGGACCCAGTGACATCACATGTGATGGTAACTCCTGCTGGGTGCACTCCACAGGCTCCAGCCATAGCCTGGCCTAGGGCTTTGCCAGACCTTTGAACCAAGTGTGGGGCTTACGTGGATTTATGACAAACTTGGCTCTGAACAGGTCTGGGGTACAGGCGCACAGCACATAACGATAGTCAGCCAGGAGTGGGAGGTGAGGAGTAGGTGGCATCCCTCTCTGGGCCTTGCTGCCCCCTTCTCTGGGACCCCCTCCTGCTGCCGAAGACCCAGACCCCTCAGGGCCTCTGCTCTCACCTTGCCTACCCACAGGGGCGCCTATTCTTCCATAGCAGGAAGGCACCGAGAGCCTTTCTTCTGAGCCGTGTCCATCATTCAGAATATCCACCTCATCTTCTGCAGACAGGGAAGCCCAGGTCACTGCTCTGGGGCCGAGGCCTTCCCCTATCTCCCGAAGGTATGAGGATAGAAAACTTGGGAGGTCGAGGAGCAAGGATCCAATCACAATGAGCTGCCTCTGGGCATTCTCCCCAGCCCAGCTCCAGGGGGACCCGGTGGGCAATGCCAATACCACAGGGGCAGGAGTGGGTTAGGATCCAAAGGCCTGAGCCTTCATGGGTCAAGGCAATGACGTGAAGACAGTGCTTCAGGGAGGAAAGGCCGTAATGGACTGGAGGAAGCTGGAGGGGGAAGGAGGGCTGGGGTCCAGACCTCTGGGCCAGGGACTCTCAGTCCCACATGGTTTCTAGCCCCCACTGGCCAACCTCGTGGTGGATTGAGGGCCTCAAATGTTAGCAACGGCATCTCTGTTAAGGGTGCGGAGAGCCTCTCAATCTGAGAGCTGCCAGGAGGGAAGCCTCGTCCTCAGGGAGGGGCTGGGGGAGCTGCAGACAACACTGCAATCAAGCCAGTACTCTGGCTCACAGTTCATCATATGCTTTTGCTCAATCGGCCCAACCTCAAGGAGGCCCAGGCAGACAAGACGAGAGGAGGACAAGAGGGCAGAGCCCACACTTACCATCTCCGTAGATTTTTATCCCTCGCCTCCTGGGAACCCGGGCAGGAAGGAGAAGGAGAAAATGAAAGTTAGGGGCCCCTGGACTGCTGGTCAGCAGAGACTGCACCCCCCACCCCCACCCCACCCCAGGCCAAAGCTAAAGGGGATGGAGCCCAGGCCCCTGCCTCCTGAGCACATCCACCCCCAGCATGGGAGAGCCAAGGGACAGATTCTGGGGTGTCTAATTCCTCCCAACAGAGCAGGATGGGGGAGAGGTCAAGGGCAGAGTCTCAGACAGGAAGGCTAGATTTCCTAAGCTCTGGAGCCCAGCGTCAGCTCTGCCCTGAAATGGCCGTTGGACTCCTATTGTTTAACTTCTCTGGGTCTCCTTGGCCTCAGAATGACTCAAAATGGTATTTGGGAGACCAAGAAGGAAGAGAGAAGCAAAAAACGCTTTGAAAAGATCAAAGTGCTCCATGGATGTAAGGTATACCCTTATCCTGAGAGCTCAGAGCAGGGCCTGGCCTGGAGTAGGTGGTACACCATCAATGTTTGTGGAGTTAATAAATGCACAGAGTAGATGGATGGTGGGCCATGCCCACTGGCCCTACATCATTAGACAGCACAATCAGGTTTATGATTAGACCCAAAGTGGAGTTTCCCAAAAGAAGGTCTAAAGAGAAAGAAAAGGTAGTCAGGGAGTCATTCTTCTTTGTATTCCCCGAGAAACCAAGTCATTCTCTGGCCACAGGAGGTGGAGAAGAGACAGGGGATGGAGATGACGCGACTTACCCTGGATTCGGCTCTGATGGCAGGGGCACTCTCCGGGTCTTTCCAAGAGAGGCCAAAGGTGAGCTCATAGTTTTACTTCTAGCTTCTAGCCATTAGGAACTCCCTGAGAAGAAAGTAGGCAGTTAGCCCTTAGGGACAGAGGGAACCCAGACAGACCCAGGAGCTGGCCTAAGCTTTGTCTTCCCTGCCTGCTTTTCCCAGGAGGGAGCACTGTCAAGGGAACAGCCATACCCACTCTTCCGGCTGCCGACAGAGGCTTCTGCAGGAAGCTCAGCTATAGCACACCTTGGATCCCCGTGCTGATGTTCCTATACCTCAAACAATCTGAACCTCTGCTCTGCCCCTGGAAGCCTTCGGCCCGGTGCTACTTGGGAAAGGGCGGGGGTGAGATGCAAAGCTGGGTCAGAAGCCTGGGACTTCCGCAAGCTTAGAGTCTGGCACAAGACTACCCAGGAGGCCTGAAGCTGTAGTCGACACAAAACCCAGGTCTCTCTGCCTCTCCTCCAGGTCTCTGTGAACCCAGGTGCCACATTCAATTCCTCACAGAACCAGAAGGGCCACCCAAAGGCAGGACTCAATAAAGATAGAGTCCACATGGTACAGAGGGTTAGAGCTCAGGCCTTGGACCAACTCTGCCATCTTCTAGTGTAACCTCACCTCAGTTTCCTTTTATATAAAATGCTGCTAACTGAAAGGTCAGTGGTTCAAACCCACCAGCAACTCCACGAAAGAAAAGACCTGGCGATATGTTCCTGCAAAGATTACAGCCCAGGAAACCCTATGGGGCAGTTCTACTCTGTCATAAAGGGTTGCTATGAGTTGGAATTGACTTGATGGCACACAATAGAACCACGTGGGGCTACTGAGGGATCAGGAGAGAGAATCCACGGAAAGCACCCAGCACAGGGCCAGGCTCATCAAGAAGCACTTAAAACTGCAAGTTGCAGCTATTGCAGTTTTGTTGTTACTGGCACAGAGAGGACACTCAAACATTAAGTTTCTCTTCCTTCTGGAAAGATGAATGCAAAAACGTAACAACAGGCCACTACTGAATTCAGTGAAGACAGACTATTATGTGGCTAAAATCTAGGTCCCAGTGTGGTACAAATGGTTTGTGCTTAACTGCTAAATATTGGTGGTTCGAACTCACTGAGTGGTACCATGGAAAAAAGCCATGGCGGTTTGCTTTCATACAGATTACAGTCAAGAAAACCTTCCGGAGCGTTTCTCCTCTGTAATCCATGGGGTCTCCCGAGTCAGAAATGACTTGAAGGCAACAGGTAAACATCTAGGAATCTCAGAACCAATAGGCCGCCATTAGGGACTGAGCCAAGTCTTGTAAGGACACATCCAAGGAAGTTCCCCTTTAGAAATCTGTGGCACTGTCCTCTGCACTGGCCCTGAAGCCTCTAGCAAGGGAGCCCCTGGCACTTGGAGGCGGCCTCCCTTGCCTTCTTCATTTTGGAGTTTGGGACTCACCATCCCCCTGCCCCCCGCAGAGGAAGCACTTTTCCAAAGACCAGGCCCAGAGTTTCCCCATCTCCACCATCCAGTACCCCCTGCCCCCAAATCTGTCCCACCCTACCCGGCTCCTGTCTTGTCTAGGCATCCACATGGCTCACGTGGCTAAGTGTGACAGCCTCTCCTGCATTCTCTACCTGCTACCAGATGGGTTGTTGTCATCATTTTTTTTTTTTAATACCTATCACCATCTCTGCCCTTTGCATAGACTGTGAACCCTCTGAGGGCACAGAGACCACTGCCCAGGTTGAGTGGCCACTTCTCATCCTGCACATGCCCAGCACAGACCAGCACCACTGTGGCTGAGACAGATCTATCGTGAAGCCAGAGATACTAATACCTCTCACTTGCATGGGCACCTCCAGGGCCTAGGAAGGGCCCTGAAAATGTGTTCACACATCTTATCTTTTTAAAATACATTTTATTGAAATATAATTTATGAGCAGTGAAATACACAAAACTAAAGTGACATGGGTCAATGCTTTTTTTTTTGCATTGTTCCTTCCTCTCCCCTCCCACCCCTGGTAATCAACAAGGAAAGTTTCCTTCCATATATAAAGCTTTCAGAAGGGTCTTCTTAAAACATAAGGTGACATGTCATTACCCTGCTAAAAGCTTTCTAGACCTCCTTCTGATTCACAGAAAATAATTCATAATTCCTTAAGACAGGTGATCTGGTCCCAGCCTATGTCTCCAGACAGCATCCCCCACTTCACCCCCTCCTACATTCAAGCCACATGAACTGCTAGCAGTGCCTCAAAGGCACAGTTCTTTGCACATGGGTCTCCCCCTGCCTGGAAACCCCTCCTGGAATGTTCTTCCCTCTTCCACCTGTGCCTTTAAGCATGGCTGACTCTGTAATCTTTTTTTCCTGTTCTTTTGTTTATTTTTTAGTTATTTTTTTAATGTTTTACTTAAAAATAATTATAGAGTTACAGAAAATGGGAAAAAGAGTACAGAGATGTCCTTTGTGCCCTTCACTCAATTTCCCCCAGTGGTTTCATTTTGTATAACCATAGTGTAGTATCAAAATCAGGAAACTGGCATTGGTAAAATTTAAATCAATCCAAGTACAATCCAAGACTGGATTGATTGGTACAATCCAATAAGTGTGTGTAACTCTGTGCCATTTTATCATGTGATTCATGTAACCACCACTGCAATCAGGGTACAGAACTATTGTGTCACCACATAGCTCTGTCGTGTGCTAGCCCTTTATCATCATACTCATCTTCCTCTCCTCACCATCCCTGGCTCCTGACAACCACTAATCTGTTTTGTATAAATGGAATCATACAGTAAGTGATCTTTTTTTTTTTTTTTTTTTAAGAAACTAGCTTTATTGAGATGGAATTCATATACCATACAAAAACCAAAAACCAAACACACTGCCATTGAGTTGGACCCTCCTTGGGTTTCTGAGGCGGCATTGCTATGGAAGCAGATTGCCCAACCTTCCTTCCGAGGAGTGGCTGGTAGATTTGAACCACCAGCCTTCTGATTAGCAGTCTAATGCCTTAGGCACTATGCCACCAGAGCTCCTTCACATACCATGCACTTCACTTAAAGTGTACAATTCAAAGGCTTGTAAATTATTCCTAGAGTTGTGCAACTATCACCACAATCAATTTTAGAACATTTTCATCTCCCCCAAAAGAAATTCCATCCTCCAGCCCCTGACAAACCACTAATCTACTTTCCATCTCTACAGATTTACCTATTCTGGGCATTTTATGTAAATGGAATAATAAAATATATGTTATTTTCTGACTGGCTTCTTTCACTTAGCATAATGTTTTCAAGGTTCACCCATGTACTAGCATGTATCAGTACTTCATTCCTTTTATGGCTGAATAATATTCCACTGTATCATATTTTGTTTATCCATTCATCAGTTGGTAGATATGTGGGCTTTTTATATTTTTTGGCTATTATAAATAATGGTGCTATGAACGTTTGTAAACAAGTTTTTGTGTGGATGTATGTTTTCATTTCTGTTGGGTATATACCTAGAGTAGAACTGTGGGGTCATAGGGTAACTCGATGTTTAACCATCTAAGGAACTGTCAGACTGTTTATCAAAGCAGCTGTACCTATGAGCAGTATATAAGGGCTCCACTTCTCCAGCTCCTCACCAATTGTTATTTTCTATCTTTTCATGATGCTAGTGGTAGGTAGCGTAGTGCCTAAGGCACTTGACTGCTAACCAGAAGGCTGGCAGTTCAAACCCAGCAGCCACTCCTTGGAAGGAAGGTTGGGCAATCTACTTTCATAGTGCTACTGCCTCAGAAACCCAAGAGGGGGTTGCTGTGAGTCTGACTCGCTGGCATGTAACAACAACAATAGTGGTAGGAAGTGCTATTTCACTGTGGTGTTGATTTGCATTTCCCTAATAGCTAATGATGTTGAACATCTCGTCATGTAGTCATTGGCCATTTGTGTATCTTCTTTGGAGAACTGTCTCTTCAGATCCTTTACCTATTGAGTTGTCATTTTATCATTGTGTTGGAAGAGTGCTTTATATATCCTAATACAAGACCCATATCAGATACATGATTTTCAAAAATCTTTCCCTCATCTGTGGGGTGTCTTTTCCCTTTCTTGATGATGTCTTTTGAAGCCCCAACATTTCAAATTTTGATGAGGCCCAATTTATCCATGTTTTCCTTTTTGCCTGTGTTTTGATAGAGTACCTAAGAAAGCTCTGCTTAACCCAAAGTCATGAAGATTTACTCCTGTTTTCAAGAGTTTACAGTTTCAGCTCCAAACATTTCTGTGATCAGTTACTCTCCTCTGGACTCCCATAGCCCCTCTGCTCACCCATCTCAGCACTGGTTGCCCTGTGCTGGATTCGTCTCTACCCCCAGGCTTCTGGAAGGCAAGGACAATGTGTTTTCCTGCCCTTGTATTCTTGTGTCTAGCACTGGGCATAGCCCCGGCAAGGTATCTGAAATATTTGTTGGGTGAAGGAATAAATAGATGCACACATATGGAATGAGGAAAGAGTCCTCCTTGGGGTGTGATTAAGCAACACAAAGTCCTTGGGGTTACTGCCACCCTCTTCCACATAAACCAAACCCAACCCACTGCCATTGAGTCGATTCCAACTCATAGCAACCCTATATGATAGAGTAGAACTGCCCCATAGGGTTTCCAAGGCTAGTACTTCTTTACAGATGTGGATTGCCTCATTTTTCTCCTGCAGAGCAGTTGGTGGGTTTGAACTGACAACCTTTTGGTTAGAAGCCCAATGCTTTAACAATTGTACCACCAGAGCTTCTTCTCTCCCACATACAGACATATTTTCCTGTTTCAAACACCCAAGTATATTTAAAAACAACAAAATAAAAACAAAAACAAAAAAACCTTCTCTTGTGGAAGCCCCAACCCACATATATCAAACATTTTTAAATGCACCTGTATTCCACATATATATAATTTCTGTAGTAAAAACAAGGATTTTAATATGTTTACAAATTAAGGGTTCTTTATAAATCTATTATTCATTTTCTTTCATAGTTCACACATTTTCTTATTCTAGATATGGTTATTTGAGTTGGGTGTGCTGCACCCCACCGGACCAATGGCAGGAGTGGCTCCAAGAGGCACAGGTTGGATTCAGGATAAAAGAGCACAAAAAGCCAGGTTGATCAGATCTAGCGTTTATTAGGGAACTTAAAAGACAGAGGTCAATGACAAGACTCCCACTCAGCGCTGAGCCACCCAGGTAGGGGTCTGCACATGGCAGTGTAGGGTGGGGGTTTATGTGCAAAGACACATGCCAGAGACTCAGGGAAAAAAACATGTCTAACTTATGATGGGTGGGGTTGTTTCTATACTAGTTAATGGGCTCCAACTGATGTTACCATGAAGTCAGGTGTTAGTGTGTTTTTCCCTGGCCCAGGTTATTGCTCAGTGAAGTACTCTGGTTCTTCCCCAGAGTCTTTTGCAGGTAGACTCCATCTTGTATTGTTCAGGGCCCTCTCGGGGTACAGCTCAGCACCAGAAATAAAGCTGCATTTTGTAAAACTTGAATTAAACATCTATTAATTTTGTTCTTTGCTTTCTTTTGGAGACAATAGGTATTTACTTACTTTATTTATTTTAAGGTTTCAAACATTTGTGTAGGTCTTCAAAGAGTCATGGGTCCCAGGCACTGTGCCTTCAATAGCTAAAAGTGTCCTGCCTGAACTTCCACCAAATCTGACCATTCCCCCCATCTGATCGCTGTAATGACCCATCAAAAGGAACTGACCAAAAAGAAAGAAGTGTTGATAAGGATGTGAAACCTGAAACCCTCCTACATAGCTGGTGGGAAATGTAAAATGGTGCAATGACTTTAGACCTGACAGTTCCTCAAATGGTTAAACATAAGGTGCTCTGGTGGTACACTGGATAAAGCATTTAACTGCTAACAAAAAAGGCGGTTCAAACCCACCAGCTGCTCTGTGGGAAAAAGATAAGACAATCTACTTCTGTAAAGACTTATAGCCTTGGAAACCCAATGAGGGTTGCTATGAGTTACAATCGACTCCATGGCAGTGGATTTGGTTTTTTTTGGTGGAGATAGTTCCTCAAATGGTTAAACACAGAGTTACCCTATGACTTCTCAGTTCTACTCCTAGGTATACCCAAGAGAAATGAAAGCGTGATGTCCGCATAGTAACCTGTATACAAATGTTCATACAAGCATTATTCATAACAGCCAAAATTCATATAACACCCAAATATTCACCAGCAGACGAATGGATAAACAAAATATGGTATATCTATGCAATGGAATATTACTCAGTGCAATGTAGTAAATTACATGGTCTGACTTTTCTAGCCATAGTCTTTGTAAACTCCATGGTGGAATTTGCCATGAGCAACTAAGTAACTCCTGATTGTTAAAGTCATCCACCTGGGGTACTTCTGTTTAATTTTCTGGGAAGTTTGCTCTCACTCAGGTGTGTGAAATTCTGGTTTTGGGATTGGTTGGTTTGCCACTCTGCTGGGCTTAAAGTGAGGCTTCCTAGAGGCAGAGAGGGGGAATATCTCTCACTGCTGGCTGAGAGTCTGACCCGTGACTGAGAGTATTCCCTCACTACCTGCTGAGAGACACACTGCTGCAAGAGACACCCTTGCTGAGAGAGAAGCAAGAGACACATGCTGCTGAGAGAGACACACAAGAGACTCACACTGGGGAAAGAGAGACAAGAGACGTGCTACTGAGAGAGACTGAGACTGCCGGCTACTGAGTGAGACTGCCAGTTGCAAAAAGACTGAGCATGCTCCTGAACTTGAATGTAGCCTGTTGCTTCCGTAATAAACCCCATAATCTGTGAGTTCTGTGTGGCCACTGCAGTGAATTATGGAATCCAGCAGAGATGGTGGGTGCCGCAGGAGGGGAGGAATGGTTGGTGTCAGGGTTGGTGAAAGGGCTGGAGGGAGGCAACATGTTTGGCCTTGCAGGAGTAGGCCTTGGACATTGATAGTGACTCTGTCCTCCTCTTGTGCAGTTAGAGGTCAGTAGATGTGGCTTCCTTGTCCCTTTTGCACTCAGTCATAAAAGGAATGAAGTGCTTGATACTACTACATGGATGAACCTTGAAAACATGCTAAGTGAATGGAGACAGTGAGCAAAGACCACATAGAATGATCCCATTTATATAAAATGCCTACAATAGGCAAATCTGTAGAGAAAGTAGATAAGTAGTTTGCAAAGGGTTGTTGGGGATAAGGAAGATTGGAGGGTAATGGGCACCAACTGCTAATGGGCACTCTTAAGAGTGAGGAAAATGTTCTAAAATTTATTGTTGCAAAACAATGTGATGGTTGCAAAACTGTGAATATACTAAAAAACTTTGAATTGTATACTTTAAATGGGTGACGTGTACAGTATGTGAATTATATCTCAGTAAAGATATTATCCACTACTTCTCAGTTAGTTTATTGTACTGTGGTGGTTTGCACATTGCTGTGAGGCTGGAGGCTATTCCACCCATATTTCAAATACCAGCAGGGTCACCCAGGGTGGACAGGTTTCAGTGGAGCTTCCAGCCTATGGCAGACTGGAAAGAAGAAAGGGACCATTGATTCTCAAGGAATTGGCCAGTGAAAACCTTATGAATAGCAGTTAAACACTGTCTGACATTATAGAGGGGGAAAAAAAAAAGGAACTGATCCCCAAGCCAAGCCACTGTCCCCTTCTTAATAGGACACCCATCATCTACCATGAAACTTTTCCCTCACACCTTTCCTCTTAATGCCATCAATTACCAAATCCTGCAGGATAAACTCTGAAATGTCACCCATACAGTTTCTCCTTCTTATGCCCACTGTTGGTCAACCTAGTGGGGGCTCTAATTGCCCTTCTTTGGGGTGATCAAAATGTCCCAATTGATTTCTCAGCTCCAGTGACATTCCAACCCAATCTGATTCTCTGTCTCCACATTAATTTTCCCATGATTATAGGAAACCCCTGAGGGCCAAGACTCTGTCTCCTCAGCAGCTTGGGGACTATTGAGGGCAGGGTTGTGTCTCTTCCACTCTCACACTAGGGGGTGGGGAACTCTAAGAAATTTTACCTAAGGGCTTCCAGGAACAGGGCTATTTTCCCTCGGGTTCCTAAAGGCAGGGATGTCTCCCACTTAAGACTGAGACTCTGAGAACAACGTGGTGTCCTATGCTTCTACATCTTGGGATCGAACTCAGGACTGTGCTTGACTGACCAAATCCTTCGTCACACCTACTGGACCTACTCGTTGCCCCAGGAGGATACCCCACTCCCACCCCCGGCCCCGGCCCCAGTACACACCAGCACCAACAAGCCGGGCCTGGTTGTAAGTCTTCACAGTGCCACGTCTATCTCGACCTAACTCCGCCTCTGGAGCCACATCACCTCCTCCTGCCTCCACGCGTAGTCATGGTAAGCAAGATTCCAAATCAGCGTTCAGGACTGGGGGGATAATGGGACCTCGCGGGGCTCTCAGGGTTGTCACGGCCAGGGCCCCAGCCTGCTAGGGTATTCTGGTGGCAGAAAGCCCTTCGGCCAGGACTTACCACGCAAGGCCACGGAGCTGTCCCGCGGCGCCGCCATCTTGTTGTCACGCGGTTTCCCAGGCAACCAGGACCTGTATAGTTCTCATTGGCCAATTCGACAGGGGATTTGGAGCAATGAGCAGCCAGCACAGGAAGGTACAGTCAACTGTATTCGAATCTTCTTGGCCCACAGAATCTAAACTCTTCGCGGGATGCGGCAAATCCCAGAATCCACCGCTCTGAGTGGACTCTGGATTTGGGAAAACGGACTTCATTCATAACACTCCGCAGGCGCAGAAAGAGCAGAACCTGGGATTAGATTGCGTGGACCTGCTGGAAGAGAAACCTCTGGGCCTGAATGTGCCACTATTTTGCTGAATTGACCTTTGGGAAATTCCCATCTCTCTGAGCGTCTGTTTTCCCATCTGATTTGTTCGGTGCTTTGTGAGGCCATTTTGAGGATGAATTGAATTGACTGAGGTACTTAATAAATATTTGTTAAATTTGAGTTTCTGTGCCAATTCCTTGACCAGATGACACCCTGATTTAATGGGAAGTTCAAATTCTTGTTTCTGTAAGAGTTTGAATAAAACACTTCCTGTCCATTTCATAAGATATGTTGGTTAAAACACTTTTTTTTTTTCCACTTTTTTTAAAAATTGTGATTTGGGTGAGAGTTTACAAATTCACTTTCCATACAGCAGTTCACATACATGTTGTCTCATGACATTGACTACAATTTACCACAATGCAACAGCTCCCTTCCCACTTCTTCTCCACAGTTACATTTTCCCTGTGTCCTTCCCTCCATGCACTCCTGCCCCCTGAGCTCTCTCCCTATGTGTACACAGCCCTTCTATTCTCCCATGATCATTCTCTGAAGGGAGTGTATCTACCTAGTGTAAATGTTCACCTCATATGCCTGTCTTTTGTTTGGCTGGAAGCCACAGGAGTAAGTTCAATTCCAGACCTGAAGGGCAGCTAGAGGTCATAGTCTCAGGGGTTCCACCAAGCTCTATCAGACCAACAAACCATTTTTTTCAAATGATTTTGAGTTTTGTTCCACATAGTTCTCCAACTCTATCCAGGATCTCTCTCCTCCTCCAAGTGGTTGACAGTGGTAGCTAGGTACCATCTAGTTCTTCTGGTCTCATAGTCATATAGGCTGAGGATCACATGGTGTACCAGTTGCTTGGACTAATTGTTTCCATGAATCTTTGGTTTTCTTCATTCTTCTTTGCTCTGGACGAGGAGAGACCCACGTTGCATCTAGATGACTGCTTGTAAGCTTTTAAGATCCCAGTCACTACTCACCAAAGTAGGAGGTGGAACAATGTTTTGTGTAGTGTGTTCTGCCAATTCAGCTTGATGTCCTCTGTGACTATGGTCCTGAGCCCACAGATTCAACTCTTGTTCCCTCTGGGTAGCTGGCTGTGACCAAGGAGTGACTACAAACTTGTCCCTTGTCAGCTCTACTATATACCTGGGAATTCTTACAGAACATACAAATACACTTGTAGAAACCTTGTCTGCCAACCCTATACATGGTCTTGGGCACACTCCCCCTGCATGTTGTTGTTAGGTGCCATCGAGTCGTTGCTGACTCATAGCGACACTATGCACAGCAGAACGAAACACTGCCCAGTCCTAAGCCAGCTCCATGATTCTTGCTATACTTGAGCCCATTGCCGCTGCCACCATGTCAATCCACCTTGTTGAGGGTCTTCCCCTCTTTTCTGGACCCTCTACCTTACCAAGCATGACATCCTTCTCCAGAGAATGGTCCCTTCCGACAACATGACCAAAGTATGTGAGACGGAGTCTGGCCATTCTCGCCTCCAAGGAGCATTCTGGCTGCATTTCTTCCAGGACAGACCTGTTAGTTCTTTTAGCAGTCCACGGTTCTTTCAGCATTCTTCGCCAACACCACAGCTCAAAAGCATCAATTCTTCTACAGTCTTCCTTATTCATTGTCCAGCTCTCACATGCATATGAGGCGATTGAAAATACCATGGCTTGTGTCAGGTGCACCTTAGTCCTCAAGGAGCCATCTTTGCTCTTCAGCACTTGAAAGAGGTCCTTTGCAGCCGATTTGCCCAGTGCTATATGTCATCTGATGTCCTGACTGCTGCTTCCACTGATGCCAATTGTAGAATCAAGTAATGTGAAGTCTTTGACAATTTCAATCTTTTCTCCATTTATTGTAATGTTGCTTATAGGACCAGTTGTGAGGATTTTTGTTTTCTTTATATTGAGATGTAATCCATACTGCAGTCTGTATTCTTCAATCTTCATCAGTAAGTACTTCAAGTCATTCTCACTTTGAGCAAACAAAGTTGTGTCATCAGCATATTGCAGGTTGTTAATGATTCTTCCTCCAAGCCTGATGCCACGTTCTTCTTCACATAGTCCAGCTTCTTGAATTATTTGCTCAGCATACAGATTGAGTAAGTACGGTGAAAGGATACAACCCTGATGCACTCCCTTCTTGATTTTAAACCATGTAGTGTTCCCTTTTTCTGTTCAAATGACAGCCTCCTGGTCTATGTACAGGTTCCTCATGAGTACAATTAAGTATTCTGGAATTCCCATT